GGCGCCTGGGTGGCTCAGTTGGTTAAGCTTCTGACTCTTGATTTTAGCTCAGGTCACGATCTTAGGCTTGTGAGGTCAAGCCCCGCGTTGGGCTCCACGCCGGGCTTGGGGCATCCTTAAGATTCTCTCTCCCTCTGCCCCTCCCTTCCCTGCTCAAGCTCTCTCTTCCTAAAAAACAAAAAAATATGTGTTGATTGTTCATGTTAGAGGTAAGACTTCTGGTCAACAGTATGCAATAAACAGTTTGAAAACACTGATCTACTCCCTTTTTCTCAGAGACCCACCTCAAATTCCTTTCCCTCTAAGAGAACTTTTCTGACAATACAGACCTCAGTGATCCCCTCCACTGCATTCATAAGGCTACTATGTCTAATTATTCAAATGTTGCTGTGTGACATTTCATTAAGGACAAAGACCATGCTTTATACTAAGTTTTTCCCACAGCACTTGGTATGCTACCTGGCAAACAGCAGGCATTCAATGAATATTTGTGGTTTGATGAACAGCAAGGGGCAGCTCTGGGTAAAAGTGTGAAGTTTGACTTAGGTTCTTCTACCTTTGACTGCTTACATCACAGAAAGGTCCATGGATTGTGATACTCCTTTGAACTGGCCATTTTCTACTTTCTCAATCAATTCCAGGTGTTTCCTGATTTTTCTCACTCTCTCCAAATCACACTTCATGTGCTCTGTGTCTCCTTATCATGTCGACTACTAGCTAAGGTATTTGGTGTTTGCCACTAGATTTTATGCTGCTTATAAAATTTTTTTGTGTCCTCTATCATCCAAGACAGACATATGTGTACATAGTAGATGCTCAATAGATATTTATTGGATAAGTTAATGAATACGTGTTATATTGTTTGTGTCTTGGGGTGTTGCTATTATATCTTTGGGGAAAAGTACGAAATCACCTAATTCATTTAACATTTGGTCAAGGGAATTTACTAAGTCTATTAACAAGTATACAAACACTTTCTGGTTTTGACTTCCTGGAATAAAAATGAAATCTTCCTTTTGCCTTTCTTTTGATCCTTTTTTTGGTCCACTTGGCAATTGAACTGTTCCTTTCAAGGAGCAATGTAAGTCTCTATAGCTTTACATAGAACTGATGGTTCCTTCTCTATATTCTGAGCAAGCCATACATACTTCTAGTTAGGGGTGACCACATAATTTATTGTCTAAACCTGGACATGTTGAGAATGAAAGTGGGCACAAAAAACTATTAAGCCAGGATAAAAGGTGTCCCTGACAAACCAGGAAGTACGCTCATACTACTTTGAAAGTACTTATTTGCTAACTGTATGTCTCTTGTTATTCAATTATAAAGCTATTCTAGGTCTGGGCCTTATTTCTCTTAGCTTCCTTGTTATCTAGAACTGTGCCTACCACTTGTTATCTAGAACTGTGCCTACCACTGGTGCCTACCACTGGTGGTAGAAGAAATGTTAGTGCCTCTTTAACAATGTTCATTTAATTGCATATTATACTATCTTGATGTAGAACTCAAACCATCCCATTTGGGTCCTATTATGAGCCATTTTCTCAGTATAAAAATATAGGGCAATGAGCTTAATTATATGCTTGTGTAATGATAGTAGCTAGCATTTACCGGCACTTAGCATGTGCAAGGCCCAGGGCTAAGAACTTTGGTTGAGTTCTCTCATGGATTTCTCACAACAATTCTTGGAGGTAAGCATTATTATGGTCTCATTAAATTAGAAGAAAAGATATGTTTAGAAAGATTAAGAATCTTGCTCAGGGTCACCCAGGTAATTATGTAGCAGAGTTTGAACCCCAGACTCTGATGCCATACACCATCTCTCTTATATGTGAGCAGTAACTGGTACTAAATTTTGGAAAGTAATTTTAAAATATTAATACCATACTTTTAGGAAAAATTCATGTGCTTTTACATGTTTAAAGGAATATGTGTTTAACTAAGTAAAGATTGAAGAATCAGATCAATGTGGCGGCGATGTGAGGTCATGAGTAGTGATAGATAAAGACATTCTTGCTGTTGTTCTTGGTGTTAACATCTCCATTTGTTATGACACAAATATACCACTAGTTTTGTTGAGATCATTTTCTTGCTTACGAACTAGTAAGTGTGCAAAGCAGTTTGTAATACAAAAAACCTTTGTACTACAACAGTTGGGTTTACTTTTAGCAGCATTTTCAGTGTATGTTATGTGAATAAATTATAAACAGTGTCTATTTTTTACCTTGTCCTTTTGACAAGATTCTACTTGGTAACAATTTTAATGATAGTCATCATTAAAGCATCATTATATTAACTCCAGAAAAATTATTTGGTATTATCGTAATTACAAACCATGTTTCGACATTGATGAAACACGTTATCAGTGGTTCTTAAACAAAAGTAGTCTAATTTTATAAAAAATAATCTAAATTGTAAGAATAATCTGTAGCCTTAAACTGTTTTAAATCATAAAGTATAAATAAAATGTGTAAAGAAACTATGCTATAAATATGATACCGAGCATAATTATACACACAGACTTTCATACAAAAGGTATCCTTCAAGAATTGTATTAATTGATTTTTTTTCTATTGACAAGAGAGGTGTATGAATAGCTGTAGCAACTGAAATTAGACATTATCAGGGTATTCAGTTGCATATGATGTGGTATAAACATATGGGAAACCTGAAAACAAATGTTTACATAATGCATGTTAACTCTTATGAATAAATGATAGGAAATGTTACTTTTAAGGCATTCACACAAAATGACTATGTTAGCAATTCAAAGGAAGGGTTACAAACATACCAGACATATTAAGTTCAGGAATTTTCTGGGCTTTTTTTTTTTTTTAATATTTACTCATTTGAGGCACAGAGATACAGAGAGAGAGCGCATGAGCAGGGGGAGAGGCAGGCTCCCCGCTGAGTCAGGAGCCTGATGTGGGGCTTGATCCCGGGACCCCAGGATCACGGCCTGAGTCGAAGGCAGACACTTAACCATCTGAGCCACCCAGGCGCCCCTGGGCTTTTTTTTTTGTTTTTTGCTTTTTTTTTTTTAGCATCCCACATTTCTTTTAGTTTTGAGGTGATTATAGACTCAAATGCAGTTGTAGGAACTTCCTGGGTTTTTTGTCCTAGGAAATTTTTAGAATTAATATGCCTTTGAATTTCAGGCCAGAAAGCTTCCTCTAGTTTGTTATTCCTATTTTTTTGAACTAGGATACCAGGATATCACTGGTCAGAAAAACTGCATTAAATGTCAAGTTTTCACTGTACTCAGAGTAACTAGAAAATTTAAATGCTTTTATTATACTGTAGGTAAGGATCCATGGGTTAACTAATAGAAATTGGGAAAAAGAGCAAATTTAAAATAAAAAATTGGTCTTTTTTTTTTCTTTGCACTTTTTATCATCTCAGGGGATTTAAACATTTTTTTCATTTACTCTAGGCACCAGGGTACATCAGCCGAACAAAGCAGACAAAATTCCATCTTATATTGGGGAAGACAGGCATTAAGAGATAAACATACAAAATAAGTAAATTATAAAGATTGTTGCAAGGTTTAAAGTGTCATGGAAACAAAAAAGCAAGTTAGGAAGGAATGAGAGTTGGGGTTGGGGGAGTTGCAATTTTAAATAGTGTGGTCAGTCTAAGCATCACTGTTAGGGTGAGATTTGGGAAAGGAGTTAGAAGAGGGAAAGCAGACATTGAGGGAGAATGTTCCTGGAAAAGGAGCTGCACTTCAAAGGCCCTAAGTAGTAGTCTGGATTATTCAAGCAACAAAGGGTAGTTGGAGCTGGAGTGAGACAGGTGAAGGGAACAGGCAAAACCAAGGGTTCGTAGGTCACCGTAAAGACCTTAGCTTTTACAGACAATGAAATAGGGAGCCACTGGAGGATTTGGGCCAGATGAGACCGGAGCTGACTTTTCTTGCAAGACAGTGTTCTGTTTGTTGCTCTGACAACAGAGTGAGTTAATGGTGGGCAGAGAGACCACTTAGCAGGCCACTGAAGTACGATCCAAGTCAGAAGACGGAAGTAATGCACTGATTGGTCTGATTCTGATTTACTCTGAGAGTCCAACAGTCTTGCCTGACAGCTTGGAGGTGAAGATCAGAAGAAGAAAGGGAGCCAAAGACTCCACAAACTAGCTAGAAGGACCTGGCTAAGTCTTGAACTGCTTTTTGAGCGAGAATTAGAAACTTAGGGGGAAAAGAAAACTAATATTGTACTAATATAATCAATCCAGATGAAGAAGACGTATATATTACTACATCATATTCTAAGTGTTGTAGGCCTGAAAACTTAATGTAGGCATTTGGCGGAAGGTTGATTGCTGGATGGGGACTCTCAGGTATTTCTGATTTCTGGGATATATAAAACATACAGCTAAAGAAGACTCAGAGATCCAGGAGAAGTAATTTCACGCTTTTCAAATGACAGGTGGAACTTCTAGGCCATAAAAGCCAGTTAGTTATGACAGATTCAACGATTCTGACGTTTACATTAATAAAAAGCGGTGGTCCGATGATTTCAGGGCATCTTTCTCTCCACCGTTTCCAACCGACAAGTGGTGCCAGGGCTCAGCGCCTAGCCTGGGCAGCCCGGGAGCGTCCGCGGTCCCACTTGGAGCGCAGGCACCGCCCCTCCGCGCGGTCCGGGGAAGGGGCGCGAGCCGCCGTTGCCAGCCGCCGGGAGGAGGGCGAGGAGGGGCTCTCGTGCGCTCCCACCCAGCCCTGGTCGCCATCTTCCGGCGCGTCCTTTCCCGCGCGGGCTCCAACCCCGGCTCGCGGCCCTCCTCTCCCTTAGGAGGGGGCTTCCTAGCCCGCGCAGCTGCAAGGCGCGGCGCGTTGCGGGGGTCGCCGGCTAAGTCCAACGCCCCGGCGGGGCAGGGGGTGGGGCCGGCGCGGCGGCAGCTGCGCGGCGGCGCTGTCCTCCCGGGGCTCTCCGGGCGCGCGCCGCCTCTCGCTCCGCCCGCGCGCGAGCCTGGGCGGGGAGGGAGGGGCCAGGAAGCGGCGAGCGCGCCGGGGAGCGCAGCTGCGGGCGTGGGGGTGGCAGGAGCCGCGGAGCCGGCACCGAGAGCGGCTGCGGCTGGAGCCGGCGGTCGAGACAAAGGCGACGGTGAGTGTCCCGCCGGCCGGGTCGCGCGCCGGCACCCAGACCTCGCCCTCGCGGCCTCCTGGGCGGGGGCCCGCAGCCTCGAACCCCCGCCGCCGAGGGCTCGGCGGGGAGCGCGGCCCGGCCCTGCCCCCCGCGCGCTGCGGGCTGTGGGCTGAGCCTGCGGCTCCATTTTCAGGTCTGGGCGAGGTCTTCCTGCGGACCCTGCCTTTGGTTTTTCTTCCATTCCTTCTGAGAAATGGTTACATGCTCAGTTCAAAATTGACGACAGGCGGGCGGCTGAGGGAGCCAACCGCCAGCCTGATGTAAAATGGAAATGAAAAGACCCCCTCCCCCAAACTTTGCAGGTCTGGGAGTCGGGAGGGGAGGCGCGAAGGGCGGGCGGGGTGGGCCGGGGTCTTCCAGGTGAGAGTTTGGGGGTGGGGCAGGAACCCCTGCCTCTGGAGCCGGGACTCTCGCCTGAGGCGTGCTGCGCGTTCCGCTCGCGGGTCTCGCGGCGCTTCTCTTTGGGCCCCGGAGAGAAAGCCCTGCCTGATCACCTACTCGGAGGAGCTCGTGTTACTCGTACAGGTTGTCTTTCCTTTGCCGCTTCAGTTGTGATTTTTGGTAACGGGTGTGGTAGGTAGCGGCTCGCTGATGCAGCATTTATAGCTGAAAAGCCCCGATGGGCTGACTTCATGTGTACTTGAAATAACACTGGAATTTCTCCTTACTTGCTGTTATTTCAAATGATAAACTTTTGTAGGGGAATTTGGTGCTGATGTTCAGTTTACAAAATTGACATATTTTGTTTTAAAGAGTCTGGCTTATAGTAGGTGCTCAGTAAAATATTTGAATGAATGAACGAATCTTGAAACATGAAAACTGATTTCACAGCTAGTAAAATTTAGGCACATACCCTCTTGACTCAAGGAAAAAAACGTTGGCAAACCGCATGCAGTTTTTGTTTATATGCTTTTTTGTTTTTACCCACCATATACATGGTGTTGATGATCGGTTATTATCAATGTTACAAGTGTAGAATATGTAGTTGAAATGTGAAATTTTTCATTTTGAGGAAAAGTTGGTTGACATTTTCTGTTTAAAAATAAGTTGTTAAAAGATAAGTGTTATTTCTGCTTTTCTTTCGAAAGAACGAGAAATTAAAGGTGTTTGGATTGTATTTTGTTCTTTTGAGACGCCCAAAGTCTATTTCATTATGAATAAATAAGTTTATGTGCTTTTGGCGGGCCGTGGTGGCATGGTCTTCAGTTGCTTTTTGAGCCAGAGGCTCTCTAAAGTTAGAGGGAAAAGAAAACTAATGTTGCACTAATTAAACCCTACCATTTCTTCAACCGGTATTCATGGAGCACCCATTATGTAGTGGCACCTGTGTTGGTTGTTGCGTTTCTAGAAGCAAACAAAACCCACAATTATCGCTTTAACCCGAGCGTGAAGTTCTTTCCTCATTATCGATGTTGCAAGTAAGGACTGACTTACACCCCTACTGCCTGCCTACTTACGAGGGAAGCTGTCAGGTGGAGTGCAGGAAGTATAGATCCCTAAGTCTACTTAAAGGTTAATAAGTAACTTCATAGGGCTGAGATTATTAGGTTACATTTTCTTATTGTCAGTTTAGTAAAATCCTACATTTTAAAATGAAGGGAGGAGGAGGTTTAAGAAACTTTTTTTTCCCTCCTTCCATACTGGATGATTTTGGTACAGTGTATTTATTGAAGAGTAATGCACTTCTGGTTGTTTTCTGTAAATAATCTTTGCTATACAACATTTTCTATTTTTCAGAATCTCCAAGAAGAAACAGTGGATTACTTTTCTACAAGAAATGTTTTAAATAAAGCACCTATTTGGAAGTTCGATCTTTTAGTCACTATTTACAGATAAATATAGTATTGACTTGATCATGCTGAAAAGGGAAGGATTAGTAATAATTTGTGGTTCCATATTTGGACTTTGCTGCTAGTATTGCGACTGTGATGGAACTGCTTACTAAAAGGAGAATGCTGTTTGTAGTATTTATTCTGAATATAAGGTTGCATTGCTTGCTTTTGTCTTATATACACAGGATTTTTTTAAAAAGTGCTTATTTTGTGTGGTCTCATCAGAAGGCCAAATTGATGTGTTCCAGTGTCATTTTTTTGATCATTACAAAATAATGTAGATTAATAATTTTTTCATAGATGGCATTTCAGTTTAGGTGGACCTTTTGATTTGTTAACACCTTATACATTATTGAAGATACTGTACTTTCAGATAGAACTTTCAAAGATTTTTAGGTTGGCTGCTCGCTTTTTGTGGTTCTGCCTGGGAGTAAGATGGAAAGTAATCCCTTATATTTTAGTGGTAGAGAGTTGTGTTTTTTTTAATGTATGTTTCTTGTGGGAAGAGTTACTTTGACAATATACTTTTTTTTCTCCTTCTCCCTCTGCTACTACCCCTGCTTGTGCTCTCTTGCTGTCTGTCAAATAAATATTTTAAAGATTTTATTTATTTGACAGCGATACAGCGAGGGAGGGAACACAAGCAGGGGGAGTGGGAGAGGGAGAAGCAGGCTTCCCATTGAGCAGGGAGCCTGATGTGGGACTTGTTCTGGGACTCTAGGATCGCAACCTGAGCCGAAGGCAGACACTTAATGAGTGAGCCACCCAGGCGCCCCTAGATAATCTTAAAAAAAAAATAGGGTTTTGTACCTTAAAAAATACTATGTTTTCAAAGTATTTCTATCTCAGAATAGTTTATAATGTTTTGAGTCTAAATAAATTCCAGGATCATCCCATCTTATAATTGTTGGAGTATTTGAAATGTTGGTGCTTTCATCCTCAGGGTATATGTGTGTGTGACAGGATGGGAGTAGGGAGTTAGTTCATTTTTTTTTTTTTTTAAGACCCTTCAGAATGCTTTACAAAGTGTTTCCTTTATCAGATGTAACTAATAAAGTGATTAAGAATGTCCATAAAAAGCATTGCAGCTGTGCTCATTTTTGTATAGATTGTTGGTATCAATTAGCATTTGTATAAAAACATTTCCAAAGTGCTTTGTAAGTAATTTCTCACATTTATTCTCTAGGACAGGTTGCTGCTACATTTTTTATATCCCAGGTGTCACTTTTTGAAAGTGTTTAGGTTTTCATCTGCTTTAGGGTGAGTTTGGGGTACTGTTTTTTTTCTTTTGAGTCTGGGGCACTTTTGTAAATGCTTTGTAAGTTTTTTTTCTCACAACTGGCAATGCATATTGGTTTTAATCTGTTATAGTGTTCTTAATCTCAGTTCTCATGAAATATTTTAACATTTTATTGAAAAATGTTAGTAATGTTTTTGAGAGGAACATTATGGGTTCCCTGTGCATTCATGAGAAGAACTGAGTGAAATGTGTGCTTATCCTTAATTCTTACTTACTAGTTAGGTGAGGGAATTTATCCTGATTTTCTTTCCATACCATGTGGAAAAACTTGAAATTTAGCTTATTAATAATTAATTTTATGCATCCTGCTACCTCACTTCAAAGCTTAAGAATACTGGAACTTTTCTATAATACAAACACATAATGAACAGAGCAGGATTTAGCTGAAAGAGCTGTGGGAATCCATCCAAAGGGAGTTTCTGAACTGAAAGCCAAAAGACTTGGTAATAAGTTGTCTTTATTATGACACCATAAAATACCTGCAAATGTATTTTAGTCAAAATGGATTACAGTAAGACAAACTCCCTCTTTTTCCTAGAAAGCATTAGATAACTCCATGTTAAATTTAGGTATCTTTGAAATTGACTAAACGATGAGCACTGATATTTTCATTTTATATCTTACCCAATTAGAAATTCATGCTAAGATTTCTTGTTAAACCTTTGATTGGATTATTGTAAGCATGTGTTAGTAAAACATAAAATTTTGTTCCATGTAGCTTAATAATATACTTCCACTTTTTGCTTAATAAAGCAAAAATGAATTTTTTGTATATTCAGCATTGTGTATATTTTGCACTTACATATGGTGAGAACCCATGGGTATTTCTGGAACTAGTATGTGCAGTGGATGGGACTTGATAAAGCTTAAGGAGAGAACAACTCTCTCCCTATACCTTCAAACTGTCCCTATAGATGAAGTCTTTCCCTGCCTCCGGATGAGCTTTTAGGAAAGTCAGGTAGCTTTCCTAGTTAGTTTTAGGTAATAAAAATTCTTGTGCTTACTTGTCAATGATAGTGTTACTTTAGTCATTGGAAGGTACAGTTCAGTATAATATTCAGTGTTAAAACTCTTATACAGTTTAGAACTTCTCGAGCCCAGAAGTCTGCTCTGGAGGAAGAGTCCTAGTAGGTGTCTTTTATTTTACCAGCTTCTCTTCACTGTGCTGTCCATTCACCTGTCCAGAGTCCAGCTCAGTGGGGAAAGAGAAGTGAGGGGAAAGATGATTTTAATGTAGCTCATCCTGTTGTGCTCTGGCACTGGTGCCTTCTGAATCGGGCAGGTTGTTCAAAGTGGACTTTTTCCAGAAGTGCTGGAAATGGTTTTCTTGGGGATTCCATGTCTGGGAACCTTCCAGCTACAATTCTTGTGATACAGTTCTTCTGTTACTGCCCCTTCACCTTCCAGTTTCCCTCATCTGCAGGCTCACTATGCCCAAGGAGAGGTTTTGCTTTAGTCTTCATAGTAGTTTTATAAATAACTTTTTTTTTATAACTTCTTAACCAGACCTGCCTTTTACTAAGATTATTTCATAATACGCAGTTTCATGCATTCCACTAGGACCTCAACATTGTACCTCTCCAGCTCTTTCTGTTAATTACCGCACTTACACAGTACTTCTGTGTCAGGGACCTATAGAATGTTGCTGCTGTAATGTCCCAAGCCCTCCTTCCTCCACGTCCATGCTTTGAATCCATGGTCCACTGTTAGAAATTTTACATTTGTATACCCTCAGTTCTCTGTAGCACTTCTTTACTGTACTCACCTATAGTTTGCCGCCCCCCCCCCCCAATCTAGACTAGCCTGTACGTGACATTTGAATGTGG